AGGAGTGATGCAATCCTGCTTCGGGGCATGGATGGTTGGGGCTCCCATGTGTTGGGTGTGACTAGGGCAGGGCAGTGAGGGCTGGGTGAGGCCTGCCCATCCTCAAGACCTGGCCCATCACCAGCTCCATCCCTCTGACAGAAGGTTAAGGGAGAAGCTAGTTTGATGTCTAACTCTGTACATAATCCTACTGCTGTTCTTGTCTCCATGTGGTTTCTTTTTCCACTTCCGTGTTTGTATGGTATTTTGTTCTTGAGCTGTGTTTCCATTTCAATACAGTATTGTGCATACACATTTCAGTCTGTGATTCTTATTATACTTAGTCAGTTAGTTGTCAGCTAGAGCTGGGCTGGAGGTTCAGGTCGACAGAGAGATATTAGGCCGGCCACTTTATAGTGGAGATTTGAGTGAGAATTAACAATTCTCATTTGTATAACTAGAGTTTGTGCTCTGCAGTTGTACCTAGGCAGGATCATGCCCTGGCAGCGAGCCGGCTGCATGCACGGCTGTGCCGCTGCAGTTGGGAGAACCCTGGGCCCTGATGTCTGTGCCAGGCCCCAAAGACCTGCGCCCATCGGTCCATCCTGTCTCCCTCATCCTGGCTGGGAGCTGTGGGGGGCCCAGTCCTCCAGGCTAGAACCAGGAGTGGGTGGGAGTCGCTCCAGAGCTCTTGGGGCTGCCCCAGCCCTGACCTCGCAGACAACCCATTGCTCTGTCCCATGGAAGGGACCTGGGACTCCTTCACCCTCACCCTCAGGACTGGGCTCACTGGCTTTCACAGCCACATCAGCCTCGGGGGCTGGGCCCTGCCTGCCCTGGGGCTGGTCAGGGACTGAGCCAGGGCATGAGCCACAAGCCAGAAACCTGGTTCCAGCCTCAGCAGCCCAGACGTGGAGGTCTTGGCAGGGGCTGCAAAGTCACAGGAGCCTGGATGCCCAGCTCAGAACAGGAGCCGTTCTCGCAGGCCTTTCTCTCCCTGTGAAAGGGCAATTCAGGCTTTGCCCTGGGAAGGAGGTGTCCTAGGGTTGGCAAGACCCAGCCGCCATCTGCTTGGCTGCCCGACACAGCACCCATTGCCCCATACCGACATGGGGCCCGTGGAGTCTTCCCCCTTTTCCTGGCTAAGACCCAAGCACGTGGGGAGCAGAGTTTCCTCCAGCCCCTGGCCCTTGCCCCTTCCTCAGGCACTGCACACAGCAGGGACCTGTTCCAGGGGGTGGGGGGGTGGGTGTTTCTACAGAGCAGGGCTGGGAACCAGGCCACGGCTGGGAGCAGAGGGCACAGGCCTGAGCAGCATGACAGCGAGAAGCAAAAATGGGATTGTCCAGGATTCCAGCCCAGAACCTTTTACACCATGCGTGAGAATCATATCCTTAGGCCAAGGGGTCAGTTATGTTTGAGGGTTTCCCAGATGTTGTCCCAAGAGCAGGTGCTGGCAGGGCTGGGACTCTCCCCACACCCCCAGGCTGTCATTGGCCCTCTGGTTTCCAGCACTGCCCGGAGCTCCCCTAAGCACGCACGGGCCAAAGAGGAAGCGACTGCAAACTAGGGAGGCATAGCCCGGCAGTCACATATGGCTCAGCCTTGGCAGAGGTGCATGGTGTCACCTAGAGAAGGAAAAAACACTGCACTGTGGGCTTTTGGGGATTTGAACCCAGGACCCTTCACACCCAAAGCAAAAAAAAAAAAAGCATAGAAGAAAAGATTGCTCTAGGCCTCTGCTCTAGGTCCAGGGACAACACCAAGCTATGGGGGGCTGAGGCCCAGGTGGTGTGGGGGGTGCATCCTTCTGTACTGCCCCCTGCCCAGCCCTGCGGCTGCCAGGAGCAAGGGAAGGTGGGGCAGGAAGGTCCAATATGGTGCCTTTTCTCCCAGAAGGAGAAAGCACCTGCTGACAAGCAAGGAGGGGAGGTGGCACTCTGCTCAGCCTTCTCCCTGGCCCCAGAAGCAGGTGACAGGGCACAAGGAGGGGGGACATGGGGGAAGCAGCTAGGGCTGGATGACGAGACTCCCTGACCTGTGTCTAACACCCCTGGGCTCCAGGGGATGATCCTTGCTGTGGGTGCCAGAGGTTCCCCGGTCCAATCATAGACGGGGCCACGTCAACTTGTCCAGCGGCAGCAATTCCAGCCCCCAAGCCAATCCTTGCTGAAATGCCTGAAGTGGGAGGCAGACAGGGCTGACTCACCCCAGACAGGACCAGCATTTCCTTCCAGCCCTTGACCTTGACTTTGATCTTGGCAGCCCCGTCCCCTGCATCCCCGGCCCATGTCGTGCAGTCACCTCCTCAGAGGCTGCACACAGCCCTAGGGCCATTTCTACCAAGCAAGTAGGTAAAAGAGTGGGTCTGTCAGTGATTAGAGCCCAAGATCTCCCTCATTCTCAGCAGAAACGAAGCTGGGATCAGTTTGCAGATGGGGCCAGGCTGGAAACTCCCCACTGCACCCCCAGGCGTGACTGCCCTCAACCAGGTGCTAGGAGTGCCGAGCCACGGAGACACAGACAGTGCCAAACCTGCAGCTACTGGAAGACTCAAAACAACAGCCTCTTTGTGGCTCATTGGTCTAGGTCAGGTATGATTCTCACTTTGGGTACTTCTCTTGGACTCAATATGGGCAAGAGGCTCCATCTGAGAATTTCTAGGCTGGCTGAGAAATAAGACACTTGTCCAGGATGTGGACCTAGGACATCTTGTACCCTAAGGATGTGGTTGGGAGGGTCAGGAGCAGAACAGTGGTCAGCCCAGCAGTGCACGGCCAGGCCTAGGCCTGTGTGGGGAGGAGGGGAGCAGGCGGCTTGGGGAAGGGAGGTCTGGGAGACCAAGTGGGATACAGCAAGTGGGCGCCTGCCATTCACCAAGGCCCAGACAGCTTGGGAGAGGCTGCAGACAGCTTGTTGGTCTAGGGGTGTGAT